AGCGCTTTAAAGGTGGTGACTAGCACCTTAAAGCGTACCCGGAAGGCCACCGGCAGCCAGTGCAGCTCGCGCAGCAGCGGTGTTACATGGGAGCGACGTGTCGCCCCCAGCACCGCCCGCGCGGCCGCATTCTGGACCAGCTGGAGCCTCCGGATGCTCCCCATGGGGAGCCCCATGTAAAGAGCGTTACAGTAGTCCATGCACTCACCAGCCATTTTCGCGGCCCAGTTGCAACCCCCTCATGGCCCACTAGTGGGCCGTGGCCAGTGGTGGGATTCAGCCAGTTTGCACCATTTCGGCAGAACCGATAGCTAATTTTTTGTTGCCCAGGCCCAGAATGGACTTCTGGACACGGCATCCACACAGAGAACTGGTTGTTCACGTATTTGAATCCCACCACTGGCCGTGGGCCACAGGTCAGGGACTCCTGTCCTATGAGACCTGACAGACTAGCATGTGGTCTTTAGACCAAGTACTGCAGTTAGTCATGAAACCTGGATGGTTTGGTTACATTCACAGAACAAGCTAGGCACAAAAAAAACCTGAAAGCAAAGTTAATGCCAAACTGACATACAGTATTGTACCAGCATGCTACTAAAACAAAGGCAGCCAGACCAATCCCACTGCTTAGTTTTAAAGCTTGTTATATTCATAGACTGCTCAACAGTACAATGCAACAATTCGGATTTGAAGGGGAAAAGATGGAGTGGACTATACAGGTAATTGTTTCTGCTACTAAGTAAGACAATTATTAAGGGAGCTTTGTCCCATTTTGTGACTTTTCTTGCCACAGTTGTTAAGTGAATCACCACCGTTGTTAAGTTAATAACACAGTTGTTGAAAGTATGAAGTGATTATCATATAGCTTTTGAATACATATCTTTTTTTTCTAATATTTTCTATATATTTAATATAATTTATATATATATATTATTTTTAAGTTTATTATTGTATGTTAGAGTTAAAGTATGTTAAATTTTGTTTGTATTATGAATGGATAGCTTACTTTAGACTTGGGATGTTATGTATTTATCCCTGTACTCAGTTCTGGGAAGTCCGGGGGGGGGGAAGGGGATGAAGGGGTAGAATTATAAAAAAAAATTGGTGTATTTATAAATGAAATGTAAATGTTTGTTTTTAAGAAGAGGAGATGATCGGCTAGTACCCCTAAACTGCATCCGAGGTGGTGGAAAAGAAGGTGATGGGATGTGTAGGATAGTTGGGAAGGAGGAAAGAGGAGAGGTAGTGGTCAAGAGGGGGAGGAAGGAAGAGGGAAGTAGGTAGGAAGGTGGAGGGAGTGTGGATGCAGGGGGGGGAACAC